TGAAAAGGGAACCATGTATTTTTACCTTCCAACACCAGACACAGAATGGCGCTTGGAATATCAAGAAACATAGTAAGTCACTTTCCAAATTCCCTATTTGTAAGATGTGGTTTATTTTTATAAGTCACAGAAAAAAACATAAGAATGCCTGCAAAGCTCACGCAGACATCCAAAGAAGGCTTACCCAGTAAGGAGGAAAACCCTTCCGGTGCAAACTGCAAACGCTGGAAGATCATCATGGTAGTGAGCGTGTTAGAATATAACTGACCAGAGCAATCAAGGAGATTCCTAGATATCTATTAAAAACCAGTTGGCTGGAGGAGGAGCAAAAATCTGAAAGCCCACTAACATTTCTTTTTTGATTGGTTAATTCTCAGGCACCAGAACCATATTCAGCGATAACAGGCAGTTATCTGCTATCTGGACAAAGTCACAAGCAGCTAAAATTCAATTCACATCCAAGTGTGAGGAAGTGTGTCAAGCACTGTGTAACAGCCAATCTCAACTGCTCCTCTTAGCAGCTGTGATTTGGGGGTGGTTAATTGCACGAAGCCTCAGTTTCCACAACTGCAAAACCGAAGAAAACCTCTTATGTTTACTTCAAAGTACTGAACTTGGAAGTTCAACAAGGTTAGGCTTCAGTTCTCAACAATGGAACCAATTAGCAAATGATTTAAAACACCTATGCGACACATTTACCCTAGACCCTTCCTCTAGAAGTCACGCGAGAGCAGACGGACAGACTCCAGCAGACATACCCACTCACCGATTTGCGAGGGAGTCAAGCCCTTCTTGGCCAGTTTGTAAATCTGCTCCTTCACGTCGTCAGACGTCAGCTTCAGCCACTGTTTAAGGGACAGAAATGGGCCTTAGGATGAGGAAGCAGGCACAACAAGACCCTTCGCCCGCAAAGCCGCGTTCCTCATGCGCACAGGTCCCCGCCCCGGTGCCGCTTCCTCGAGCGCATGCCATCTTCCTCCTCAGCTTCTCCCGATACCCGCGCGCTACTTACGGTGGGGACGCTCCGGCGATAGGGCAGAGCCGACTGGGACAGGCCCTTCCTGGGGAAGGAAGCGCACGTGTGAGGTGGAGGCCCGTGCAACAGCAGATCAGAACATCATCCCCTCGACCCGCAACCCACACTCCTTCCTTTTCCCAACGTGCGCGGCCCAGCCCCGCAACCCAGCGCCACGAGCTCACCCGGGAGCGTGCATGCGACCCATGATGGCGGAGGTCTGGCAGCAAAAAGAGAGCGAGGTTGGAACCGCCGCAGGAAGCCACCTCGCACGCAGGAAGTGACCTCACACGTTCCCACTTCCTCCCACAGGAGGCGGGGCTACACTGCGTCGCTACCGGCGTTTCGCGTGACTACATATCCCGAAATGCATTTCGGTGCGGCGTATGAGCCCTGCGTTAGCATGTTCCGCGTTCCTGGCTCCCTGGCCTGGCTTTTGGCCGGAGCGGGAAATGGCATCTTTATAGCCAGTTTCTTCCAGTGCTGAATTGGCTTAGGTTCAAGTCCTGGGCCGGGAGTTGGGGATGACTTTGATTGGGAGTTCATTCCCTCAGGCCGCCTTGCTAATTAATGGGTGTCACGTATGTGATGAGTGTCGCCCAACCAGCGCGTCCACTTACCTCTACATCCTTAATCTAAACTCAGGGGCTAGAGAAGGATCTGCCTGAGTATTTGAACAAAGCCAAAAAAAAAAGCATGGCCCTGGGAAGGACGAAGGTCTGAGTGAAATAAGTAAACTCCTGTTGACAAGTTTAAAGTGGTGCGAGGTTTGAAGAAAATGTAGGTATTAAAATGTCCACTCACTCTTTAAGCCTATCACTAGGTGGTCAATAACTTTATGAAACATTAAGAACTTAAAATTGTAGTATTTTACCCTAGCAAAGATGCATTCGTATCGTTAGCTAATTTTGTATTTTTAGCCAATGTTTGGAATAGGTATCTCAACTTGGCACCAGTTCTCCATGTCTGGTTCTAGCCATTGCTCCACACACCTTCATTTCAGGTAGGTAGTCTGCTCAAAATACAAACGCAGGAGACTACACTTACTCCTTTAATCATCTAGGCACAAACATCTATCAAGAATACACTGACTTCATTTCCACCGCACCCTCAAATCCTAGCAATCCTAATTCATCTGGGCAACTAGGTGGAACCCTATTGTTTCTGTTTTTACTCATCTCCACCCAAATCCATTCTCCACCTGGTTGTCAGTCATAAATCAATGTATTACACCCGTGTAAATCCTTTCAATATTTAAATAAATGTATTTAAAATAAAATCTAAACCCCTGGCCTCACAGCTTGCACCTTAAAAACACCACAGCCACTTACTCCCTTCTGACCCTACAAGGTAACACTGTGCTCCTTTCTTGCATAGTTTTCCCCTCCTCCTGTTGCTGTACCTGAAATGTTCTTCCTCAAGATCTAAGGTCTGGCTTTCAGATCCTGGCCTCCATATCACCTCAGACAGGCCTTCTCTGAAAAGGACCACCTAAAGTCGCCCTTTTCAACATCGTATCCTGGTTATCCTCACAAAACATGAATTTCTGCCATCATCTTCAGTTTCTTGTCTTTCTGCCTCCAATAAATTCTGAACTGAGAGTAGTGTTTATCGCTTTTATTGCAGCACCCAGAACAGTGCCTGGCAGGAAATTAGGCACTCAATAATTATTTGAAATGAATTCGTTTTTCTTCTTCTGTGAAGATGTCTAGATCACAGATCTTATTTCAGGAAGACAGTAGCGGATAGTGGGAAGAGTAAAGGTTTGGTAATCTAGACCCAGACTATGGTGTGTAATTTGGGTCATCAGTTCCTTACACACATAAGCCTTTAAAAAAAATTATTTAGGTGGTTTTGTAAGTGCTGAAGATTGAGCCCAGAGCCTTGCTCATGCTAAGCACATGCTGTACTACTGAGATGCACTTTCAGTCCCACACAGGAACTTTTTAAACCCACCAGCATTGCTGGAATGATTTGCTGTCAACCTCCTGACTTACCATTACAGTTGTCTTGTAGTAGAAAGACTGAGGCACATCTATGATATAACTGATAGGCATTTTTTTTTTGAGACTGCCACTCTGCTCAAAAAAAAAAAAAAAAAAAATCAGGGCTGATGCCTGACTCAAGTGGTAGAGTGCCTAACAAGTGCAAGGCCCTGAGTTCAAGTCCCAGTACCGTCAAAACAATCAGTGCTTGGAAGTACAGGAATTCACAACACTGCACCCAGCCCTCACTAGTTTAATTTACTTTATCTGGCAATATTTGCATAATCAGAAATAAATGATAAAATACAAGGTAGGTATGCTTTAAATTTTAATCAAGTGACATTTATCTTCTATTAAGCAATGCTCCATTACTTTTATATATGGCATTACTTTGGGCAACTTTTAAAAATTGGAAACTTCTGATTTTTTAAAGACTAAAAGAGGAAAAAATGTAATTCTACTACCTAGAGAATAGTTACTGTTAATACATTTAAAGCAGCTGTTCAATGATTAAATTTTGTGGTACTGGGATTTGAACCAGGGCTTCATATTTGCTAGGCAGGTGCTCTGCTGCTTGAGAACCGCTTCAAGTATTTTTAAAAAGTGAGGCTTGTGCACATAATTCAAAACCATGTGGGACGCTCTCACGAGCCTTCTCGTGAGTTCGTTTTCCTGACCTGAGGGCGACTGGACATGCAAAAAGGACAAAGGATAGAAGACAAACACGCACACAGTTGGGGTCAGGTGTGTTGGGCACTTGGATGGAGACGCACAACAGCCTCATTACTTATTATTTTTTCTATTCTTTAAAACCTTACTTCTAAAGTCTTCTTTTCTGTTCTTTGAAGTCTTTCCTTAGACTCGCACTGTTCCATGTTTTCCTTAATCTCAAAGTCTTGGCACTGAGACTTGCACTGTCCCATGTTCTCTCTTAGAGTCTCCATCCTTAGACTCGCAGACACAAACATCCAGCAGCAACAGCATCATTCTCACAAGCAGCCCACCAATCCAAACTATCAAATCCAATCCCCCACTCATCCTTCTTCAGGGAGTCTTTTATAAACAAGGAGGTGGAGCCAACAGTTCTCCAGGAGAGGCATGACATTGTAACAAGAGAAACCCGAGTTCCTACTTCTTTCCAGCTTAGGAAAAGCAGCTGTGTTGATTTTGCCTTTGCCCCCTTCTGCATCTGGGGCCATGCCAACCTCAGCCTGTAGATCATTGAGCACAACTGTACTTATGTCAAGTTCTCCTCACAGGATGCTGAGATTGGGAGGATCATGGTTCCAGGCCAGCCTGGGCAAAAAAGTTTGTGAGACCCCCCATCTCAATGGAAAAAAGCTGGGGATGATGGTACACATTGTGGTTCAGACTGTCCTATACAAAAGGTAGACCCTATCTCCAAAAATAACCAGAGCAAATAAGGGTTGAATTATAAGCATGTACCACCACATCCAGCTAGTTTTAGGTATGTTTGGGTCTCTGGTCCATTTTGAATTTATTTTTGTATGTGGTATGAAGTCAGTCCTCACTTTTTTTTTTTTTTCTTTTTGTCAGTTCTTGGGTTTGAACTTAGGACTTTGCACTTGCTATGCAGGTGCTACCATTTGAGCCTCACCTCTAGCCCCTACCTCATTTTCTTTCATGTAGTGAGAAGAGAAGGGGGAGAGGCAGAAGGATGTGTGTGTGTGTGTGTGTGAAGTCAAAAAGACATGGAAGAGTGCAGAAAGGTCTATCAGACGTTTATCAGAGTTCTAAAAGCAAAGGATGATGTGACTGATAAAATATTATGCTATGTGATGGATTCATTTATAGAGTTCATGATATTCTTGTCTATTTTTGTATATATATGTTCAAATTTCCGTAACAATTTTTTCAGAAAGACCCTTTTTTTCTCCTGACAGAAACTGAGTTTTAAGAACTGGTCTAATCGCTCTTTCAGTGTCTTTGGGTCCTTTTCCATGTTATCCTAGGGTCAGGCTACTTAATATTTAAGTAAACCAAAGGCCAGGAACCAATACTCACAGAAGCACTTCATACCTACAAAATGGTGAGAGGACTGGAGCAAAGTAGTAGCAATTCATAACTTCAAACAATCACTTAGAAGTTAAGACTCTCTATTTAGACATTTTTTGAAGAAACTGACAAGCCAGTTCTGAAATGCAGGATTACTGAACTTAATAAATTCCTGGGTAAGCTGCAAAGAGCAGCAACAGTGAGCTCATATAAAAGTTTGAAACCAAAATATGTCAACAAGGAAAGAAATGTCAGCAGAGTTCCTTTATTCCAGAAATATTTTAATACAATCATAGTACAGTTATAAAGTCACATTCAATCCACTGAATATATTCAAAGTATTAATAAAAATATTATACATCTTTATTCACTGTCCTGATATAATTAAAGCATTTGGTTCTTATAGATGAGACTAGTTCTATTCATTCGTATTTGCACTGCTCGTGAAACAGCATGTAAGTAAATCTATGGATTATGACAGTGGGGGTCAGTCTTTTTTGACCTGAAGTTTATCAAAAGTAAACGTTTTGCTTTTTAAATACCACAATACTTGAATACTACAAAGAACAGTTAATTTAAGGCAAGATTTTGAAACTTTTATACTTAATTTAAAAAAAAAAAACCTTTATCAAACGTCGTACATGCCTTGACATTTAGATAACTACAGATTTGTATAAAGGAAATGATAAAAACAACAGTGCCAGTTCTACATTGGGTTTCTCAGTAGAGAAAACAATAGGTTCTTGGGTGAAAACCATTATCTTCAAATCCCAAAACACTGGCAAGAGGAAAGAATTCTTCTGGCATAGGGCTTCTATGTAACAGAATGATTTTTACTCAATAGAGGTAGGTATAAAATATTTTGATTATACATAAAAATTAGTGTCTTCAGACTTGTTTTTCAGATTTACTTTGTTAGACTTAAAAAAAAATTCAACTGATTTAGAATTGGCTGGAATAGTAGTAGTGCAGAGGCTACCCTCTTGTTTTCTGTTGCTGTTTTTGGTATGGACTGAAGATTAACATTTCACAAAGAAATAACTTACATTAATGTGTGTGTGTGTATATGTATGTGTGTGTTTTAATGACCAAAGGTACAAAACGAATTAAATTAAGAGAAAACGTTACCTCTTATTCTGAAGTTTTGTTAACTGTACAGTATTAATCATCATATACACTTTCGGGTATAAACCCAGATTTCTTATAATTGAAAAGTGACATCACATTTTCTAGCTCTATTGTTTGTGCTAAAAGATACTGCTGTGACAGATCGTAAGAAAGCAGTTTGGGTTGAGTCCAATTAACCTTTTACAAAGAGTTATGTTTTTTTTTTTTTTTACAGTGACAACTCATGGAATGGAATTAGGTTTCAAAAACTTAATCGAAAATTTCTACTTTATATTTGCAAAGCTACTTTAAGGAAAAAAAATGTATGTAGAAAAAGCAAAAAGTGCCTCTTTGTTCTGCATTTTAATTACCATTAAATAGACAATAAATTTTAATATTAAAAAAGACATTCATATACCATAGTCAGTTTTCCTACAAATGGACCATTAGTGTTAGGCACCAAAAATTTCAAGTTTTTAATTTTTTTAAACCTATTCCACTGATATATCTTCAATTCTTTTGTTTCTGCTCTGCACATATCATTATTTTTTTTAAACATCTGCAGTTCATAAAAATTTTGTTCTGGGCAACTGGATTGGAGATTGTCCTTTCTTTTAGTATTCTTCAGTAAACAGTTTGTCAATTTTCTCACAACCACCATATTGCTCCATCTCTATTGCCATTTAAAAAGTATTTGAATTTCTATTCTAACCATGAAATTTATTACATATACATGTTTATCTAAACTAAACAAATTTATGTCTGAAGTTAAATGAACAACTAATAAAAAATCTTAATGTTTACTGCAATAATTTTAAACTTCTCCCTGTGGTTCTGAATCTCATTGTATTATGGAATACAAATCTTTCATGTAAATGTACAGTGTTTATAATTGTATGCCAATTTACAAGACAACTTCCATAAAAGTCTATATTAAAATTCAGTTTGGACCCTACAATCCTTGTCCTAGGCCTCATGTGAAGAGTCTGCCTTTCTCCTGGAGTTCTTATACCAAACAGGAATGAGCATGGGGGTGAACAGTTTTCACTTGCTTAATAAGGAAATGAAGCATAGATGCGTGGAAGTAACAGTATTACCTGACTTCACACCCCTGGGAATGAATGTAGGATTATAACGGAATGATGAGAGTTCAGAATACATCACTGAATCTCACTCAGTTACTGGACAACAAAACCTTAAACAGCTTGACAGTCATAATAACTAAACCACACATCAGAAGTAGAGAAAATGATCTTGTGGGAAAAACTCAGTAAATGTACATAATTTTTTTTGTCTTTAGTAAACTGAAATTAAGTGAAAATTACTTATTATCAAATCAGGAAAAAGAAATCAGAAATGAAGTGCCAGAGAAGCATATAAAGTTAAGTAAGGCACCATTATTTACAACTTCTGATTGGCACTTATTTTAAAAAAAGGTAATGAATAAAAACACCAGTATTTCCCCCTCTACTTCTATAAAACTACTTAGTAGTTCTTAACATAGCTATCTATTATTTGTGCTTCTCTTTGTAGCCCTGTGAATAGCAGCTGCATTTTCTAGTAACATTCTGCATGTTCCTTTACTTTGGTGCTTGTGAACATACACGGTGGTAAAGGCTGTGAAAGGTGCTTAACAGGCAAATAAATGTGCTATTCTGCATGTGAAAAATTGCAAAATAGGTGGCTGACCTGACATTACTATCTCAGTCTTTTTCAGGACTTATTATATATTACGTTTAGAATTTGTAGCATTTAATAAATGATTTTAAAACAGCAATGGCTTCCCAAAATATATAAAAGTTATGTGACTATTGGTCCAACAGATGTGCTGAAATACAGCAAGTATATTTATAATTTCTACCCAAGTATAAAAAATTTTATACAAAGTTCAGAAGTATATGTGTGTGTACTCATCTGTGCAAATATTTGTATCTTCTTTCTTCCAAAGCTCAGAAATTCACTAGTTCACAGGTAAGTAGCTGCAGTCAGTTGGTACCACTTAACTGTCTCTTTGCTTAAGTTGAAATCTTTCAAAGGCAGTGTTATTCCACCCAAGAAAAAATTCTCCCGTAGAGACTCTGCACTGAGTACACTTAGCTGAAGTTCTCTCTGTCTCAGAGTTTCTTTGCTATATCCATTGTACACAAGCTACAGCAAAGGAAAAAACAAATGAACTAGAAATTAAGGTTTGTTTGGTTTCTTGTAATACTTCAAGTGAAACATAAGTGAAACTCAGTCAAACAGTGATACAATAAAAGACATTGTTTGTCATAATAATTCAGAAGCACATTTTGTGTTTCAGGAGTCTCCAGTTGTTTGATTATTCCTGTCAACGTTTGAGATGTACAAAGCCCCACCAATCACTGGCTAATAATCCCGAAACGTGTTCTTTCTGAGATGGAAGTGATGGGAAATGGAAGAGAAATAACATGGCAGTTACCTTAAGATGGCCTAGTAGCTGGGAAAAGAAAGGATGAGAGGGAGCAAGTTGGGAAGCACAATTATAATTATTTTACAGAAACAGCTTAAATTTTCCTTTTGTTGTCTTTCTGTTGGATTTTATATCATGAAATGGTAATTTCTGCTTATTCATGATTTAATACAAACTCACAGTAAAAATAGTCTGCAGCAATTTTGGAGCACTACAAAGCTACTGCATTTCAAATTCTCATCACAATGTTTAGAATGTTTGTTTTTCCAGAAAAACCTCCTCATAAGTTCTGAGAAACAGTTCCTTAATGTAGACCTCACAGTTTGGCTAAAACACCTTAGAGAAGCACACACATTTAATTTTTTTGACACTGTAACACCAACTATGAAAAACCTGAAAAAGAACACTAGTACTTATAATTCCAATTGTCTTCATCATGCATTGTACGTTTGTACAGGTACTTTTAAAGAGGTGAAAAGGCCTTCTATAGTTACTTTTTTTTTTTTTTTTGCCTTTGACACAGGGCCTATATACCCTAGGCTGACTTGAACTCATGATCCTTCTGCCTCAGCCTCCCAAGTGCTGGAATTACAGCTGTGCATGGCTATGCTAGTCTTTTTATTTTTTATTTCTTGGATATGGTTTCATGTTTCTCCTCCAGGCCAGCCTGGACTGTTAAACTCCTACTTATGCCTCCAGCTTAGCTGGGTTCATAGGCTTGTGTCATCATACCCAGCTAATTGGTTGAGATTGGGTCTTGCTAACATTTTGCCTAGGTTGACCTCAAAACATGATCCTTCTAATCTTTACCTCCCGAGTAGCTGTAATTAGAAGTGTGAGCCACTGGCTCCCAGCATGGACAACCACTTTTTGAGAATACTGTATTTGGGGAGGGGGGTTTACACACTGAAAGGGTACTTGAATCATGGCTCTTAATGTCTTCTCTTTTGTTAAATATCCCTGGGCTGCTATTGACTTGCTCTGTGAAATAAATAGTTCAGCAGCTGATACTGAAAAACTTTAATTTTAAAATCTCAAAATAATACAGAAAAATTTAGGAAGTGATTTTAACTTACCATTTCATTGAATGTTGGATTCCTAGTTTTTCGTGAAATTTTTGTTTTACGTTTAGATGTTTTGTGGGTATCTGGAAGAAGGTATGTTTTGACATATGGATTTGGATCTGCCCCATCTTCGGTAACCTATAAAGAAAAGCATTCACTTCATAGTAATGCTTCCTATTGAGGTACAGGTTTCTTCTACAACCATTATTATTTATAACCACTCACAAGATCTTTGATGTGCATCACCATGATGAAAAGAGTACCATTTCGGTATGAAACTGATAACTTCACTGCTCCTCCTATTTGACCAGGAGTAGGACTAAAGGGACCTGCACCTGAAAATAGAAATACATTCCTCTTTATTTCATCCTGTCTGCAATGATTCAATTTTCAACAAAAGAATTTTTGCTTTACTTCCAGGACCACTGTTGTGGGGAGGACAAGTAGACAGTAGGGGAAGTAAAAAACCTGGTAGACCACTGATTTAGACTTTTTCAGTAACCACACTCAAATTATTAGGAAAGTTAAATTTATCCAGAAATAGACTGGTTTAAAAAGAATTCCCTCTTCCCTTTCTCAATGACTACAACCAGTAAGCCTAATGTCACTATACCATATTTATTGAAAAGTGAGACCTGTAAGTCAGTAATTATCAATAAAGAGAAAAAAGTAATCTCACCTGCAGACCTAGCTATCCCTTCAGCTTTCTCATCACGAAGTAAAGGATGGAAAAAAGTATAAACAAGATCACACTAAAATGAAAGAGAAAAAAAGATTCATTAGTTTAAATATTATGTGGCATAAAAGGTACAATATGTTATTACTTCTTATATGGGTAGATCACCTCTGCTACATCTGTTGAAGCACTCATCAAACTCTGTAAATAATTGTTTAACTCAATTTTCCTTTTGGCTGCTACATCTTTTATGTGTGTTCTTCCTAGAACCATCCTATTAGGAAAGCTATAAAAGAAAAACAAAAACAAGTGGGATTTAAATTATTTCATCTAGAAGTATTTATAGAATCCTGTACACTATTTACTGAGAAATGTATTTTTACATTCTTAAAGACAAAGCAGAGTCTTGATCTAACTTTTTTTTTGTGATACTGGGAATAAAATACAGGACCTTGCAAATGCTAGGCAAATGCTCTGCCACTGAGCAACATTCCTAGACCTAAAGTAATTTTGTGATTTACCTTCAAAGAACTAGAGTTTAAATAATTTAATTACTCATTTTCTTTTTATGAGCCTCGATACCAAGGATGCATGTTACTACTTTCATTTATTACTATTTTCTACTATTTCTTCTCCAATTTAATTATTCAAATATTTACCAGATCTCTAAAAGAATCATTACTCAATCAGCTACAGCTACTGCAGACATCAGCAAAATCCACAAATTATGATACAGGGCCTAAGTCAGGTACTGACCCATAATCTTAACTCTACTTATTTTGGTGTAGTAGAAAGATGAGATTGCAGATGGAAACAAACTCTAATGCCCACTTTTCTGCCTCCTTACTTTTGAAATCTTGACTGAGAAGAATTTGAACAATATGACAAAAGAAATCTAGTCATTATTATGCTATGGTAAAACTGAGAATTTCCAAGGATATAGGATACAATTTTAAGCACTAAGTTTCCAATTAACAGTTTCAGTGATATCTGCTTCAGGTTATTCAACATCAGAGAAGTTCAGTACAGCAGTGATACAGCATGTGAGTTTTTAAAACCCAGATTCCAAATTATCTTGGACTGCTTACTATGATAGAGACAATAAAGTTAAAGCTTCAGTGAAAATGAGGAATCTGGAGAATTTCACATTTTAAGACCTTAATCACATATTCATTGCTGATTCATTCAACAAAAACTTACAACTCCTTGTCTATCGCTACCTTTATATTAGGTCTGTATGCTACAAAATTTCACAAAACTTTTCACATATCTGAAAACAAATTGTTTCTTACAAAAAAGGATTAATTTGTACAGGATGAGAACATACCCAGGTAACTTCCAAAGTGGAAAAATAATACTGAGCTTATTATGAAGTTCTTGAAACTCATCGAATGTCCGGAATACAAATGATGGTTCAAGCTGTCCTTCCCTCAAAAGTCGGACTACATAAATCTGAAAAGAAATCACATGACAAGTACATTAAATTTATAATAAAATTTTCTTTCCTGGTGGAAAAGAAGTACATACAACTACATTCTAAGAGTGAACATAATGATTGTAAGATACACAAATAAGAACTTGAATGTGAAAGCCACTTTATTTCCAGGATTAAATAAAGAAAGTAATCAGGAAAAAAGACAAAAAAAAAAAAAATAGGGCGGGGAGTGAAAGAAACATGTTTCACTGGATAATTTAAACTACTATGAGTACAGTACTTCAAAGAATATAATACTGGTGTAGAAAGAGTCAGATATCCAAAGAAAACCAGAAATAAATTCAAGGAGATGTATGTAAACTTGATGTATTTAAAGATACCATTACAAATCATTGGGGAAAGAACAAATTTTACTTAAAAAAAAAAAGTTAAAATAGTGAAACAGCTTTCTAAAATTGATAAATTCATCAAAAATTTAAAAAACCCTGACAGTTCTAAAAGGTATACCCCACAAAAACACTGGCCCATGGGCTAGGATGTCAGCTCAGTGGTAGAGCACTTGCCTGGCATGCAATCCATATTCAACCTACAGCATGGAAAAAAGAAAAAAAAGAAAAAGCAATTGCACAAGGTGAAAAAATGAAAGCAAAGAAAGATGATAATGCTACGGTTTTAGAAGATAATGCTATGGTACGGTGAACATTCTGTTTTTCTTTAAAAACACTTTATGTTTGTGTATATTGTAATACTTTATTGAAGAGTAGAATGAGAGCTTAACCTTTCATTTTGGCAGTGCTGGAGATTGAACTCGGGTCTTCCTGTTTCCTAGGCAGGTGTTCTACCACTGGCGTCACACCCTCAAGTCTCACACTAACTTTGGCATGACCAGACTTGGACCATAATGCTCCTATCCAGGACCACAGGCATGTGCCACCACATCAGGCCTGGGAGCTTAAGACTTTTTGAATTGTACTGGTTGGATCTCTTAAAGTGACCACGCTTTATCTTTGAAACTAAGAAAAAAACTGAAGAATGAGAAAGGAAGAACATATTTTGACTCTCATAGTTTTAAAATATATTTAACCAGAAATAAATACAAAAAAAATTAGGGAGGCTTCATATACATTTACTTATTTTTGGACCATCCATGTAAGCAGAAAGCACAAACAAAAACAAATGTTGGAACTTTAGTAAAGTCACTGAAGAACAGATAAAGGATAATAATAATGTATGCACAGCTGTCTTACAAATATTGAAACCAAACTTACATAATGTTTATCTGGGTTGTACTTTTTATGGTATGTGAAAACAGATGCTTCCTTGATACGACCATCTTGTCTAAAGGAGTACGTTTTGGGTGAAAATGAAAGGATGGGCTCGTCATTAGAAGGGAGACCAGAAAAACGCAGCTGAGCAAGGTTGTGAATGAAGAAATTAAACTTTGTGGCAATGCTTCCCAAACTTGACTCAATCAGCCTACAAAATAATCAGAAAACTTGTTAATAGTAAATCTCATGCAGACACATGGTAAATTCTGTCAAGTTACTAAAAGATAGAAAACACTTTCATATCTTTTAAAATATTAATCAAATTCTTACTCTGCCAAGGCTTCTCTTTGTTCTTTAGGCCCAAGATCTATTAAAATACATCTCAACCCAAGGAAAAAAAATGTTTGGTTTTCTTGACCATATGGGATCTAAGACTAATTAAAGAGCTATTAGAGATAGCTATCTCTAATAGATGATTAATACTAAAATGATGACTGTTATAAAATCAAATTTTAAAATTTCTCTATAAAATACTAGAGTGGTAGAAATTTGGTGCCAGAAACCTTGATAATCATAATTTCTTTCCATAAAATGGGAAAAAAGTTATGAGAGGACAGTCTGGCAGAGATAATGCAGAAGGTAGGCCTTGATAAAATACTGTAGGTAAGCAAAGGAAACAAGAAGCCTCAGTAACAGAGCTGAATACAGTTCAGTGGTAAAGCACTTATCTAGCATGAAGCATGAGGCCCTGAGTTTAATCTCTAGCACCATTTTAAAAAAGAAAGAAAAAAGGTGGCCATTTGCAGGAAGGGAGCCCTTTTCAGAAAGGAACCTATTCAGCTGACTCCTTGACCTTGGACTTTCCAAGACTCTGTAACTATGAGAAAACAAAATTCTGTTGTTTATGTCAACCAGTCTATGGTATTTTGTTATGAGATTACAAGTAAATGAACACATGCCTGTTTTATAGCTTTGCCCAGGAGAACCAATCAACACCTACACTGTCAGGCTAAGATTGGAAGGCTATAGAAAAGTCAGCTTCCTTCATTTCATTTGGTTACAAATAGTTTTATTAAACACACATGCATGCTAAAAAGCAATGCATGTCTCTTTAAGTCATTTTATTTATTTATTTATTTGTTTTTTATTCATTTATTCACATGTGCATATACTGTTTGGGTCATTTCTTCCCCCTGCTCCCCACCCCCACTCTCTCCCGTGGCCCAGACTATTGAGACTAGGGAAATCCAGTCCACTGAGAGGAAGGTAAAAGATAAAGGACAAAAAAGAATGAGCTCAGGAGCATGGCTCAAGTGGCTACTTAGCAAGCAGAGGTCCTCAGTTCAAATCTTGGTACCAAAAAACAAAAGCCCACGTGCTTTCTGCTGTGGTGTCATGATGACATGGGAGCAGTAGTCAGTGAACCACTTGGCCTTAAAGAACCTATTTGCCAGGAAGATCTTTTTTTTTAAAACAATGACAATCCAAAGGCCAGCCACTGGCATATGTGTTTTAAGTACTATGTCATGTAGTAATACTTTACTACAGCAGTGTCCGAGAGTTTGCTGTTTTAAGCATTCATGGTATTCATAAAAATAGAATACTGAAAAACAGATTAGTACAGAAATCCTTTTCAAAAGAAACCTTAAAAAGAGGTACATGGCACTGTAGAAAACACATTCACTCAGAAATATGTTTATCAGACTGGAGGTGTGGCTCAAACAGTTTGTAAACTCAAAGTCAAGTTCAAGCCCCAGTCCAACCAGGAAAAAAAAAAAGAAAAAAAGATATAAATATGTTCTCTAATGTGACTTTTATAATTTAAATCATACCCTAAACAACCTTGAGATTATACTGACAACAATATATGTATTTTTGAAAGTGTTATTGCAAATCTTTTACATTTATTCAATAAATATACTTCTTTTTTTTTTTTTGGGCAGTGCTGGGGATTAAACACAGGACTTCATGCATGCTAGGTAAATGCTCTACCGATGAGCTACATCCCCAGTCCTTTCTTTTTTTTATTTTGAGATAGGGTCTTGCTAAGTTGCCCAGAACTAAGGGGCGTAGAACTACCTTCTGTCTCAGCCTCCTGAGTAACTGAGATTACAGATGTGCACCACCATGCCCAGTTTCATCTATAATCTGCAAATATTGTGAATCATATTTTTTCCTCTAAATTAAAATACGGGTAAATAGCATTTATCTAACTAAGGTAAAGTAAATCAAAGCCAAAGGGTACCTGCCTTCAGTAATACATTTAAATAAGCCATACCTAGTGAAGAAAATTGTAGCTTCAGCATCTGTAGTTTGGGGTTGAAGTGCATCTCTAACATATTTCAAATCTTGAACACTTGTAAGTTCTGGTAATCCCGAAGGAATCATCTGTAAAAGAAAAAGTTTTGTAGGTTAAATTATCTGCTACTCAAGTAATTAGTACTAAAGGAAACAAAAACAATCACACTGTTGAGGAATTTGTTAGTGTTCATACTACCTAAGTGACTCTCTTAGAAATGAGAAAATCGAGGTCAAAGAAACCAAGTGATGTGCTGGAACTCACTTTCCATTTATGAATAAAAAGTTGTAAAATTAAGACCTCCTTGTCTAGGCCTCTGTTCTTAATCACATCAATTTCAGTCACAATAAACAGCAGTTTTTGGTTTGTTTTTATTCTTTACTTAAATAGAACACATGCCCAAGAAAGTGCAGAAATCCTAAGGGTACAACTTAATGAATGTTCACAACCTGAACATAACCAGATTAAGAAACAAGCTTTTCAGTAGCATCCCAGATACCCCACTTCAGTTACTACTACTCCCCAGCCCCAGGTCACTACTCTATTGGCTTATTTTTTGTATTTTATATAAATGGAATCAAATGGTGTGTACTCTTAATGTCTGGCTTGTTTTACCTAGCTTAAATTTTAAAATATTTCACTAAAAATTTAGCTGACACTAAATTTATATCAAAATCACAAAATATCCTTTTTTTAGGAATTGAATACAGATACAGTAATATAAAATTAAGTGTTTATAAAGAACAAAGTTACCAGTGAAAGGAGGTTAAGAAAGAGGTTTGTTTGTTTTCTTATCAAATTGTAGGCTTGACAGCAGAGGTCCACAAACAACTGGAAACGAATGGTGGGCTTTTCACCGCCATTAATGACGTAAGCCATATCAGAGGTAAGCACAAAAGGAGCCCGATCCCTATTTAAAATGAAAGTACATAGAGAGCATTATTTAAAGAACATATTCAAATAGTGTTATTGCTATTATGTGACTATTAAACTAACCTATGGGAATTATAGCAATTTTCAAGCAGGAAACTGGTATCAGGCAGCTTGGAATTTCACTAATTCTTGAAAATTCAAATTTTCAGGAAAGCCATCACATAATAATCTCAATATTTAGACAGAAGTTACATATAAATTTCCTCCAAGGTGTTACTTATAAATCTACATACTCAAACAGAGATTAAACAATGGTTACAAACATACACAAAGAAAAATGTTATACTTAACTACCACTGTACAAATGGAACTTTTTTTTTTGAAATTTCTAATAGATAATACAAACTAGATAAAATATATGTCAATTTATTTCAGTAAAGTTTACACAGACCCAGTTTGTCTATTGTGTAATAAATCATTTTTCATCCGCACTTATGTTCTAAGGTAAAGCACAGCAGGAAAGGCAAGGTTTGGAACTCATGAAATAAGATGGACCTATTTTCTCTATCAACATTAACAGTAATAGTGCTATTACCTTCTGAAGCTACCAAACATCTGTGCATGGCCCAGAAACTTCCCAAAGTCAATGTGGAACATGTGTCCTGTGCTTCGAAGCATTATATTATCATTGTGTCGATCACAAATGCCTAAAACATAGGTGGCCACACAGCATCCAGCACAAGAATAGATAAAATTCTCAGAAGCCTATAATAAAGATATAAAATTATTTTAGAGAAAAGTATTTTTAATGGAGGCAGTGTTTATAAATTTTGAAGTTATTCATAACTCTAAAAAAAATTACTGCAATCCTCTTCACAGCATACAACAGCTATGGCAATAAAAGCCTGTCTTTTCATAGTACAAGAACAAAAACACTTGTCAAAAGGTGGTTTCTGCTCCTTTTCTCTAGCTTTTGTCAAACAGGGATCCTTCCAGTCTCTACTTAGGGTATGTACTGCCTTTGACCAGCTTTTAAGCATCCTCACATATTCTGATGTCATCATAAGTGGTATCATTAGAACAAAAATTAATCTGGCACTTACTTGCCCAATATGCACAAAGTCCTGGGTTCAATTCCAAAATCACTTGTTTAAAAATCTGAATAGAATAATTCTTTTCCCTTCTAGTTGTTAAGGAGGTATATGTAAGAAAAATCAGCTTAGGGGCTAGAGATGAAGCTCAGTGTATAGCACTGGTCTAGTATGTGTGAGGACCTGGGTTTGAAGGAAGGAAGAAAGGGAGGGAGGGAAAAGAAGGGAGAGAGGAGGGGAAAGGAAGAGAGAAAGGAAGGGAGAAAGAAAGGGAAGGGAAGTGAAGAGAGAGAGAAAAGGGGGAGGGAAGTGAGAGAGAAAAGGGGGAGGGCAGGGCAAAGAGAAAACAGGGAGGGGAAGGGAGGGAAAAGGAAGGGAGAGGGGGAAGGGAAAGGAAAGGGAAAGGGAAGGGGAAGGGAAGGAAGAAAGAAAGGTCCTCTTGCCAGGCACTGGTGGCTCATGCCTGTAATCCTAGCTACTCAGATGGCAGAGAGCAGGAGGATCACAGTTCCAAGCCAGACCAGGAAAATACTTCTCAAGACCCTATCTTGAAAAACCCTTCACAAAAATAGGGCTGGTGGAGTGGCTCAAGATGAAGGCCCTAAGTTCAAGCCCCAGTACTGAAAGAAAAAAAAAAAAGAATCCTCATATCTTAAAACTTCCAGTAACAAATTAGTGTGGTTTTGTTTTCCCATTTGATGACTCCCTGTGTGTCATCTGTAAGTTTCTCAAAGCATGTACATTAGTTCTCAAAAAACTGCATTCTCCCCCTTTTTTTGGTCTCACTCTATAGCCCACGCTGACCTCAAGTTCTCAAGTTGGTTTTTTTTTTTTTTTTTTTTTTTTTGGTGGGATTGGGGTTTGAACTCAGGGCTTCATGTTTGCAAAGCAAGCAGTCTACCACTGAGCCACACCTCTGGTCCATTTTGCTTTGGTTATTTTGGAGATGGGATATCAAGAACTATTTACCACTCATATGAACCATGATCCTTCTGATCACAGCCTCCCAAGTAGCTAGGGTTACAGGCATGAGGCCTTGGCCTCAAACTCTTGATCCTCCTATCTCAGCTTCCTGAGGGCTGGGATCATAGGCATATGCCTCCACGCCTGGCAAAACACTTTATTTGAGTGGTACAGCCATATTGCCATACTTGCCCATGTAGATATTTTGTTCCATAATCCTACAGAAATCATTACCAATGCTGATGTTATCAAATTATACAACACTTATCACAAACCAGGCAAACTCACAAAGTCACACAGCAAATTGATTACTTAGGTGCTGTTATTACTGCCATTTTACAGATAAGTGAAACTAAGACATAGGTTATTTGTAAAGATCATGTATTGATTAGGTGGCAGAGCCAGAAATCAAACCCAAAGCAATGTGACTCCACTATGCTACATTTCTTCTTACTCATTACTAAATGGTATAAAAAGCCAACTTCTATTGGGAAATATGGTGCACACATGTACTTCCCAGCACTCAGGACCTGAGGTAGAGGAATCACAAATTTAGGGACAGTCTGGATGACATTGTAAGATCCTGTTTCAAACAAAAAAAAGCCAAATGCATTAATGATGCTTAATGTTGGCTACCTGACAATTAGTTTGTGTTCGACATCTTTCCAGGAATCACAAAAGAGACAAAATTATTATAAAAGAAATACTGTCTTCCTCAACTGCTTTCTCTAGACCACAAAGAATGAAGGGAGTAATCCAACACTTTGAAAGACCCACAAATTCCTCAGTTTTATCTTTGTAAGTCAACATGTGGCACTTTTATGTCTATAGAAGTGACACATTAATGCTACATAAACTAGACAGCTAAATTACATTAAAACTGGAATCTTCTTTCATCTAAGTGTTCATGAGTCTTCCTTAAGTTATAATCATAACATGCCTATGTCCTAAGAAATGTGTCCTTTTCTTACATGTAATTCAAAAATACTAAAAACAAAAAACGATGCTCCAAATAAGAAAAAAGTTATCAATTATACAATTTTCACTTTGTAGGCTGTCCCTCTAGATGTGTATATACACACACACTCATTTAATTCTCAAATAACCTTATGACTATAATATAACACAAACTGTAATATTTTACAGCAGAGACCACTGGGGCACAAAAATTAAATAATTTGTCCAATGTCCCGTAGGTGACAAATGACTGGGGCAAGAATTCAAACAGAGAGAGTTTAGCCCATAATCTATGCTCCCAAATACTACATAATGCAGATGCTCTTGCTCATTTTTTTTAACTTCTTATAAGATCTTTGGGAAATGTAACATTCTGGGTTATAAAAATACCTCTGTTTTGCTGACCTCTTAAACGTATGTCTGGAATATGTTTGGGGCAATTTAGCACTGGTTTCACTCATACTCCTGCCATCAAGTGCATTCTGTTCCATATTCTTTTCTATACTTAGAGAAAGACATTGTTTTCTTGACTAAATAGTTTTGTAGTCACCAGAAGTGGACAATGAAAGCATTAGAACCTTTGCAACACAATTTCACCAAAGTTATTTAGAATAAAGAGACATGCTAATCACCTTTTCATATTCTTCTTCTGAAGGATTGTATTTCCTCAGCCACTCTGCAAGTGGTTTATCTTTAAAGGATCCTGTCACACCATATTCCACTTGGATTTTCCTGAGGGTATCTGAAGCAGGAACTAGCTCCACCATGCCTTTAACAACAAAATATTAAGCTATGTGAAAATGTCTCCCAAAAGTAAGCCTTTTAAGAATGCATGTATTTCAATCTTTGACGTAAGATACCAGCTAGCAATTACTATTTTGAAAAAAATTAAGTCTGGCAGGTTATGCTAAAAAATTATTTTTTATTTTCAAAAGTATTCAACATATGAAAGTTGACTGTTGACTATATGAGCCTCTAATGGTCTGTATAGCCATGTGTTAATCCCTAAAAGATAATAGTTTTAATTATAAACTAGATGATACTGACCTTGCTGGTGAAGTTACTTGTAAGATACATGCTGCCCAATTTCAGCATGAAAAACTGTCTCTAATCATGTATTTGGGTAAGGTAAGACTGTTTCAGAGCACATTAAGTCCTTTTGATGGAATGAAAGGATCAAGACAGTCCTTGTGATAATCTTAAGTCTCAAGTATGTGTTTTGATTTCCTAACTGGAATGTTGCTGGCTGAACAAATTGTTTTTTCTTTTTTGTTGTCTTTAAATTTCTTTAAAACAAGTATCAAATAAATTAATTATGGTATATATACAAAAAGCACTACAGTGAGGTAAGACATTATGCACTCATGTAGAAAGATCTTAAAAATAATGTCACATGATTATAAAAGTGGGATTGTTTGGGGGAAACCTGTGGGTGGAAGGAGGGGAAAAGGAGAGGGTGCCAGTGGTGGATATGGGGTGAATATTATAGAAGTACATATATGTATGTATAAAAAATAGCACAATGAGACCCACCAAAAACTTAAAAAGGAAAGGAGTAGGAGGGAGGGTGGTTAAGAAAGAAGAGTATTGATGAAATGAATGTGATCCAGGTACATTATATACATGCTGTGAGTATAGTATTTGTACAATTTGAGCTAATAATAAATTATAAAAATAATGTAACTTGAAGACAAAATTCTGATGGAGAACTGTACTTTTGTGTTTAAAAAGAAAAGCTCTTATGCATGTTGGAATATATACAAAATATTCCCTGAAGTGACTATATTTTGGAGTAGGATGCTTAGGGTTGAGGATGAAGATGTGGGAAAAACTTACTTTATAATTTATTCTATTATGTTACTGGATATTTTACAATGTACACATATTATCTATATAATTTTAAAAATTAGCTAATATATATTTTAAATGAAGGACACACATTTACATATATAAAAAAGAAGACATAGAAACAGATCTGCTCCAGACACTCAAAAGCCTGTAAAGAAAGCAGGCCCAAGTCCTCCAGAGCAACATGACAGAAAGTACACAGGGCCAGGTTATAAACTCTGGCAGTCTGGTTATACACGGCAGAGAGAACTCATTTGGCTGTTTTGGTTGCATCATCTAGTTAACAGTTCATAGTGACATCCTTTTTCAACGAGTCCCCCATCTTGATTGTATCACTGTGTCTAATTACCATGTATAAAACAGTGGACCAAAGTCTGTAAGATACACAAAGTATGACTATCAACAGAAAATAGTCCCTACCATGAGGCACACATAATCAATCTAGTGGGGAAGATACAAAAAACATGCAGAGAGAAAAACTAAATAAGGTAATACAAAGTAAGTTTGTCTGGTGAGTATTAAAGAAAATTGTTGAGTTTGGAAAAGGCAGAGTACTCTAGGCTTAGGAATTGTGAAAAACTTTATAAAGGATTTGACTGTGATTGTTGGTACTGGGGTTTGAACTAGGGGCCTCATGCCTCATACTTTCTATGCAGGCACTCTTGAGCCATGTCCCCAGCCATATGTGTGTGTGTGTAAGTAACAAGGGTTTGAACTCAGGGCTTTGTACTTGCAAAGCAGGCGCTCTACCACTTGAGCCATACCTCTGGTCCATTTTGCTCTGATGATTGTGGAGATGAGGTTTCACCTATTATTTTCCTGAGCTGGTCTCAAGATATGATCCTCCTATCTCAGCCTCCCATGTAGCTAGGATTACAGGCCTGAGACACCAGCACCTGGCTAGTCTTGTGTATTTTTGCCAGGGGTGCCTAAGATCAAAACCTTCTATCTACACTTCCGTACAGCTGGAATTACAGACACAATGCCTATTTTGTTTGTTGAGATGGAGTCATGCTAACTTTTTGCTCAGGCTATCCTTGAATCACAATCCTCCTGATCTCTGCCTCGAGGGTAATAAGGATTACAAGTGTGAATCACCTTGCCTGGTCTTGGCTATGATTTCTTCATGTGAAAATTAAGGATACAAATTAGAAATAAGGGCAAAATAGTTTTTGCTGGGTATTGGGGGGGGGGGAGAGGGAGGGGGCGGAGTGGGTGGTAAGGGAGGGGGTGGGGGCAGGGGGGAGAAATGAACCAAGCCTTGTATGCACATATGAATAATAAAAGAAAAATGAAAAAAAAAAAAAAGAAAATTAAGGATTCAGTGAGGTTATATAAATGAAAACCTTAGTGCCAGACAAAGCACATAGGTAAGCATTCAACCATTAGTTAGAAACAACATTAAAAAAACAAAGGGAATTTGAGCTTCCAAAATTATGTGGAATTTCATAAAGAGAAAAAAGTTGTTTAAGTATATGAACAAAGTAAGGTAATTAAAAAAATAACCTAATTGAGATGACAGGCTCCAGTTAGGGAGTCTTACTTGGCAGAATAATTTCCATCTTCTAAGATTTATATGAAAACAAACAGTCAATATAAGAATTCTTGCTGATTTCCTTTTTGACAAGATAAAAGTTTGCTGATCTAAACTTGAACAAGGTAAGTTATCCACTGTCCTCATGGATAAAATAAAGAAATGTGGAGTGGTTGCTAATATAATAAAGATGAGTAACTGGTAAAATACTGTACTTGAATCAGCAATCACCTGAATGGAGGTCTCTAGTGGCATGCCACAAAGGTTGGTCCTTGGCCCTTTCTTGGTAAACATTTTCCTCAATGATTTAGCAGAAGCTACAGAACGTATGTTCTTCAAATCTGTTCATGACACAAACTAAGAGGTTCAATAACAGATAATAAGAATTAAAGAAAAAAAAAAACCCAAGAAGCTGAAAAGTAGTGGATCAAATATAACAAAGCTAATAGTTGAGATCCTATATGAGAGTCTAAGATGCAATGATGTATAAGTATATAGAATGGCCAAGACATAGCAGGGGCAACCATGATGAATACTACTGGTTTTATTTGTATATAACTTTCACATATGTGGCACTTTACCCACTCTTCTGTATTCTATAAAAAGCAGATGCCATTCTTAGACTGGATTACTTGAACTCTTTATAAGGAAAACAATAAGGTAATCAGGTAATTTAGAGTCATTTATGATAAACAGCTGAGAATACAGAATTCAAGCGCAGAGGTCACAACATTGGTTGTGTTTAAGAGATTCAACTTAATTACTTAATCGTCTGTATATCAATCTGGAAACAATGAGTAAAATATATCAGGAATCAGTCCCATTATTCAGTTGAATTAAGAAAGAATTCTACATCTATCCATCCTGGAAAGGAGGAACTATCTCAAAATGTAGTGAATTCCTTTCACCATTAAGTTTTTAAACATAAATCAAATGGCAAATATTGGAAGGATGACTAGATAAAGTCATTTTTCAGACAGTAGATACCCAACAAACATTTGTTGAATAAGAATAACAATGGTGCCATTTACTGAGCACATGATATGTAATCAGAGGAGATTGGGTGAGTTCAGGGTGGTAAGGCTTAGACATGTAATCAGATACTGAGTTGTTTTAATATCTCAAAAACTTAAATAAGGACATAAGATAAAAATCTGTTCTTAGTGGGAAAAAAACTCTGTAATTACTATTTTATTCTATGGAAATGAAATCAAAGTTGGTTGAACTTAAATATGGCCTTATTTTTAGTTCAAAAACAGAGTCTATGAAGTCCTCATTGAGTTAATTAACAGACACTTCTAGTTACTACAAAGTATTTATTAAAGCTGAATAGGTATTGTAGTTTTTAAGTTTAATCATGAGTAACTGAACCAATAAAGTGCACTAGATTAAAGTAAGAAACAACTGAGACCACAGTATATCTGCATGAGGACGCTTACAGTAAATTTACTCTAAGTTCACAGAACAAAAAATAGGATACTGCAACACAATTAACAGGCTCACCTCGATCTCTGCCAGTTGAGAGACATTTGAAAATTACCATCCTCAGGTCCAGTCCTTCTTTAAGCCAGATCTTATCCATAATCTTTATCATCTGTAAAGCTAACATATCTTGTCGAAGATCCTCACCAACCTTGAAATCAAGGATATAAAATGAAGCTTGCACTTTCCAAAAGACTCAATACATTACACACTAGAAAATTGGGGGGGAGGGGCACACTGGAGAGGGATCCTAAGAAGGAGATAACAGAACTGCCTGTTTGTTCTTCTGCAGAATTCTAGAAAAAGCTACTGAACCTCCTCATGTCTCAGTATCCTGAAAAGTGTATTTTATTATTTTTTGTGGTGCTGGGGGTCAAGCCCAGGGTCTCAACATGCTAGGCAAGCACTCTATCACTGAGTTACACCTCCTTGAAACTGTATTTTAGAAAATGTGAATAAAAAGGGCAACATAGGGATCCTTATGATGATCTGTATTTTAACAATATCAATGCCAATATCCTGATTGTGATGCTGCATTATAATTTTACAAAATGTTACTCCTGGCATAAATTGGATAAAGAGCCCACAGGATCTATGTAGTTTCTTTCTTTCTTTATTTTTTTTTCCCCAACAAAGTCTCCCATGTAGCTCAGGCTGGCCTTGAACTGTTGAACTCCTTCCTTTACCTCTCAAGTGCTAGGATTACAGGTGTGTTCCACCATGCCCGGTTCTCTGTACAATTACTTGTAACAGTCTATGAATCTATAATTATCTCAAAATAAAAGGTTACTTTAAAAATATAAGCAGTCACAAAATAAATTAGGAATAACTGGTGGTAAATGGATGGAATTGGAGAACATCATTCTGAGTGAGGTTAGCCTGGCCCAAAAGACCAAAAATCGTATGTTCTCCCTCATATGTGGACATTAGGTCAAGGGTAAACACAACAAGGGGATTGGACTATGAGCACATGATAAAAACGAGAGCACACAAGGGAGGGGTGAGGATAGGTAAGACACCTAAAAAATTAGCTAGCATTTGTTGCCCTCAACGCAGAGAAACTAAAGCAGATACCTTAAAAGCAACTGAGGCCAATAGGAAAAGGGGAACAGGTACTAGAGAAAAGGTTAGTTCAAGAACAATTAACCTAGAAGGTAACACCCATGCACAGGAAATCAATGTGAGTCAATGCCCTGTATAGCTATCCTTATCTCAACCAGCAAAAACCCTTGTTCCTTCCTATTATTGCTTATACTCTCTCTACAACAAAATCAGAAATAAGGGCAAAATAGTTTCTGCTGGGTATTGGGGGGGTAGAGGGAGGGGGCAGAGTGAGTGGTAAGGGAGGGGGTGGGGGCAGGGGGGAGAAATGAACCAAGCCTTGTATGCACATATGAATAATAAAAGACAAAGGAAAAAAAAAAGAATAACTGGAACTCCAAGTTTTCATTTTTAACATGGATAAAATAATTTTAAAACACATAATGAAAAGTATATTTTTGAGACATGAAAAACAGTCAAGGAGATTTGCCTTCACAAATATTAAGACTTAACACATAAAATTTCTATAATTAAAAGATAGTACCATTTAGGGAAAAGGCACCTGTATCTGTAAAACAAAATAATGGAATCCCAAACCATACCTGAACATACGGGAACTTTCTGTATATATCTAAGGTGGTTCAATAGAAGCTATCTTTCTGAATCTCCCCTTATTCAACTCAGTGAATTAACACAAACTGTCCATTCTTTTTTCAAAATGTACAGATTATGATCACAATGCATAGACTTTTGACAGGTAATAGATTACTCTATAGTTGTCCAATTCCACTGTTCCTTATAGGTAATTTGTATGTTTCCTAAAACCAGTGCCACTGCTCCAGGTTTTGCAGTTGTGCACTGCACAAATCAGAGGGCCCCATCCACATCACATTGTGCATAAAGGCACTGCCTGTGGCGTGCTCATTCAGTGTGAGCAAATGCAGCAGCTCTACCCCAGACCTGCACTTGCTCCCAAATCTGTTTGGAACAGTTTATGTCAATGATAATTTGCACATAATTATTCAACCTAAATATTAAATAAACAAAATTACCTTGTAGTTTTGGAAAAGGAATTTGATGGAAAGAATTTTTTTTTTTTTTGTACTAACTGGAACTTTATTGTAACAAATAGATACCACAGGGTGCCTCCTCCAACCACAGGCACTGTCCTGGCACAGTCCGTTCAGCTATAACATTGTTTTCTACATGTGAGTTTGCTTCATTAGCATTAATGCATTAAAGAACGATTTGAGCACAATGCAAATTTCGTGTTTGTGTGTGCACAATTTCGCACACACAAAGATGTACTATGGACTCAAAACTGCATTCAGCTGAACAGAGCAGCACAGGAATACACAACATGCTCACCCCCTCCCTTTGCACCTACAGTATACCTTCCCACCTACAGTACACCTTCCCATCTGGCATTCCAGCTTCCCTCCCTTCACATCCCCTTCCTGCCACCCTTCACAGTAACTCACAAGCTGCAGAACTTCTTCCTCCACCTCCACAAGCAAACTTAAGGGATTTCCAAGGGAAAGTGACATATGTATTGTAGTATTGACATATTTCTCAACCATTCCACATGTGTAAACCTGCTAGCTAGATGGAAAGAATTTTTAAACTGCCTTATTCATTTATTCATTTTTAAGGGAACCCCAGCTGGGTCCAGTGCTGTACATCTGTAGTCCCAGCTACTTGGGATTTTGAGGCAGTAAGATCACTCAAGCCCAGCAGTTTGAGACCAGCCTGGGCAACATAGTGAGATCTTGTCTCCAGAAAAATAAAAATAAAAAGTAACCCTATTTTGCTCACCTTAAACATGACATTAATTTCTTCTCCCATAGGATCAGCATTCACCATTGTGACTTTTAGGGGCACAGCATTAGAACTGAAGAAAGAACATGACTGCAAATATAACATTTTGCCATTAGAAAGATAACAATAGAGTAAAAATGGATTTAGGATTTTTTATCCTATGCATATCTCCTTTCACTTGTTACCAGAATTCACAGCAAATGAAATAACATGAGAACTGATTTTTTGTTAGATAATCTAGCAGATATTTGTCTAAAAATATTTTTCAAATTTAAACTCATCATGAGTAAGATATTAGCTCTCTAAAGACAGAAAAGTAAATATTCAAAAACCTGAGACAAAAACTTCTAAGGTTTGAACTCTAGAAGTGTCTCAATACCTCAGCAGAATAAATTTTGTAATATTCCATCCTGATCTGCCACTTCTATGATACCATTATAATAAATTATTCATGGAATCAAATAGTGACAAAAACTTTAATAATTTCATCATCAAAGATCAAATCTGATTGACTGACTGATTGAAGTGCTTGGGATAGAACCCAAGGCCTTGGGCATGCTGGCAAGTACTCTACCACTGAGCTATACTCTAGCCCAAATCTTATTTTAAAGTGAAGCTGATTAAAAAGCTAATTTAAGATTATAAGATCAATTTAAGAGAAACAAGAAACAAAACTCAAGGTAGTAAAGAATTTTACACTGTCTTTCAGGAATAGTGATTAGGTAAACGTATGCTGACATAAATATGGATCCTACTGATAAAAAGACATCCTCTGTAAATACTTATAACCCAAATATGAAGGTCTTATCCTCATTTGCCTAAAGCACAGCTTCCCATTTACTTTCTATGTATTATTTTGAAGTTTAGTATGAACTCATAAGTATTGTGTCACCTTAATATTTAACTCTTTTGCCACTAGGCTTGGTTTGAGAGGGAGACGACATTTATTTTTCAGAAAAAAGGACTGTATTCGTTCCATACTCCTTTGAAGGACAACCTAAGGAAGAAATTATTACTGTAAGTACATAATGAAAATGAAGACCTATTCTTAAGACAATAAATTATGCTGTAGACATAATTTATAAAATGTCCAGTCGCCAAATGTTCAAAAGAAGTTGTGGGCTGGTGGAGTAGTTTTAAGTGGTAGAGTGCCTGCCTAACAAACATGAGGCCCTGAATTCAAGCCCTATTACTGCAAAAAAGGAAAAAAGAAAAAAGTTGTCACTAAAGAAGTTAGCATTCACTATAAAAATAAAACCAGAAATGGGTAAACGGTATAAACATATGGGGTTTGAAAAGTATACATGGCTAGCCAACATACATGAACACATTAAAGCTCACTAATAGTCAAATGGACTGGAGGTGTGGCTCAAGTGGTAGAGTGCCTGCCCTAGCAAGCACAAAGCTGAGTTTTAAAGCTCAGAAACAGAAAAAAAAACAAAAACAAAAATAAAAACACAAAAAATCCCAAAACAAACCACCACCACCACTAAAACAGAAACAAAAATGAGATGAAAATTTTCAACTATCTTGTGAAAATTTAACATCCAGTAGTGGAAAACAATTTCATTATCTGTTGGTCAGAAGAGAGGTGTATACAGGGCATAACTTTTTTGGGAGAACAATCTAGTAGACATTATCATAAATAAAAATGTAAATAGTTTGTGACTCAGGTATTTTGCCTGCAGGAATGTAGTATTATGTCCTATAAAGACATAACACTAAGCCCAGTGTCGTGGCGTGTTCCTGTAGCCCCAGCCACTTGGGGAGCTGAGGAAGGAGGATCACTTGAGAGCCCAGAAGTTTGAGACTGGCCTGTATTACCTATAATAGGTAATATTATATACCTATTAAGAAACATGAAGTATGGGGTTGGGGCATGGCTCAAGTTGTAGAGTGCTTGCATAGCAAGCTTAAAGTCCCGAGTTCCACTCCAGCACCACACACACAAAAAAAAAGGAATGGAAATAATAACCCTAAAGTTCATATGGAATTGCAAAGGACTGTGAACAGCAGAAACAATCTTAAAAAAGAATGAAGTTGGAGAATTCAATTTCAAAACTTACTATGGCAATCAAAATAGAGTAACAGAAGTAGAATGCAGCCCTAGCATGTATGATACCCTGAAATAGACTTCCCAGAAGCACCAGAAGAAAAAAGGCAAAAAACAAAACAAAACAAAAACAAAAACCAGTTTGGCATGAGTTCAAACCCAGCACTGAAACAAAGACAAAAACAAAAACATCAGCTCTGGAATTAGATAGTGGTGGCACTTATACGACACTGAATATATAAAAAGTTACTGAATTTATACACTTTAAAAAGTTTTATGTCACATGAATTTTAACTCAATAAGAACGCACGTGTGTAATACAATTTTGCTTTGGTAAAACTAAAAGCAAACTCTTAAAATTTGTGTATATATGTAAAAAGTCATAAAATGACCAAGAAGGACATACAGTAAACTATGAACAATAGATGCCCCAAAACGGCACGGGGGTACTTAAGACTTTTTTGGAGTACTGACAGAGTAGTAACTTAATTTGTCAGCACCCTAAAGATCCTTTAACATCAAAACATGTATGTTCTCTTTCATGGGTACATACCGGTCTGGCTGATCCACTAGCCTGCCTTACTTTCTCTGCCACTCCTCCTAAAAGTTGTACAAGTTTTGTCTGCTTAGAAAGTTCTTCTCTGAGTCCTTTTCCTCCTACTGAGAGGAGAGCACCCAACACATGCTCATATCGGGTACCAAACTGTGTATCATGCAGGGCATCCTTGAGAAGCCTAACATAGGAAATATTTATATTAGCCACTTCTGAAAATAGGATGAAGCACACTCAAAAATCAATTTTACAGCTCTAGTTTTGATACCCAAGAATTTATTTTAAACTATATAGCAAGTAAAAACTCATTAATTATTATAGAGCTATAATGTTCCCAGTATTTTCCAATAGAGTTTTGTTATTTTTGGTTTTATTTCTGAAGACATTAAAAAAAATTCAGCTTCTTTAAAATAATGCATTCAATAACACATCTGGTATCCATAGCAAGTAGTCTGAGCATATTATTTTAGACTTAAAGAGTATGTCATCTCTATGAATATTAGCAATGGAAATAAGTTACTCAATAAAATTTAAATCTTACCAATATAAACTGTGTGCTATCTGGATATTTCCCAATGCCCTGGACAGAAGGAAGCGTACTAATGAACTATTCAAGTAAATTTCATATTTCAAAGCCTATGTACAAAAAAAAAAAGGATTACTAGTGTCAAAGTCATACTAAATTGCTGGGGCAAAATGATCAAAAGAGAAGCTAAAAAAGTATTACTCTTATTGAGGAAAAGATTTACTTATAAAATGAAACTGCTCCCCACCAAAAATCAACAACAACAAAAAAAGGTCTGTGTATGTAGCTCAGTGGTAGAGCTCTCGCCTAGTATGCACAAGGCTGCACGTTCAATGCACAATACTGAAAATATTTAAAAAATTTAAACTGAATTCATGTAGGCCAAATTAATGAAACCATGTACAAAAGTAGACTCAAAAATAATCTTCATTAGCTACAGTTCATTGACCAGTAAAGAAAAACTGAGGAAAAGCTCAAGTCTGGTTTATTCTGAGACTAAAAAGTCTGAGAATTAAAAACTCAGGTGGGGCCAGGCACTGGTGGCTCACGCCTGTAATCCTCGCTACTTGGGAGGCTGAGAGGGAGAGGATCACATTTTGAGGCCAGCCAAGGCAAATAAAATAGTTCAAAATATTCCATCTCCAAAATAACCAGAACAAAAATGGGCTGGAAGTGTGGTCCAAGCCAGTGAAGCCCTGAGTTCAAACCCCGGTCCCACCAAAAAAAAAAAAAAAAAAATTCAGGTGGGGCAGATGACAACAGTGGAAAAAATTTCACACTAAGTCCATATGCAATGCCCCACAACACTGCCATAACTATAATGGCAGCTTTAATCAAAATAGGAAGGGGATGCCCTAGCAAGTAAACACCAGGGGCTGGGAGGAGGAAGGCAGTCTAGTAAAAACTCACTTGCACAAACTGTGGAAGAAGATCTGTTAGCTCGTCATCGTTAATGCCCTCAATCCAGGTCACAGCTAGGGATCTCACTTCTTGATCAGCAAATCTAGAATACGAGAAAATCAAGATTTGATAGTGGGTTTTTTTTTTTTTTAATGAAGTTGTATTTCCTGAAAATGCAATCCCAATTTATTCTGACAAAGGAAACTGAAATAGTTCTTTATTCAAAAGTAATATATTTATTGTGTTCTTTAGGAAGAAAATCTTACTGTGCAAATAGATTCAATTTGGGGTTTATTTAGAAACCTTATGCTTATGAAAGTTTATTTTGATCCACAACATAAAAATATAATTGTTCAAAATTTGCAACTTAAATCTTTCTTTAGGTTAGTTGTACAGGACATGAAAAATTTTTTGATAATTTAATGCAAAAAATTATGTTTGCATAAATATACATTTACACATATATACTGTATTGAACTACTTTCATGTTGAAAGGGAAGTAAGTACTCCTGCAACGTAATACCTTAATGCAAAAAGCTCAGAGCAAATAAGTATATTTGACTTACTTTGAATCAAGAAGCTCCAAGGCAGCCAGTGGGCACAATGGAGGCCATTGGTGAAGCAGTGAGTAAGTTTTGGCAAGATTAACCCATTTCCAGTTTGGAGCACTTGCTAGTACTTTAGGAAGACAATTTGGGTATTTGAAGCAATAATAACGTTTTTCCCACAAAAAGGCTTTATCTTCTTTAGAAAGTCTGCATACATAATAAAATCAAAACTACTTCTCAGTGACACTGTAATGACATAGTTATCATCTCAATGATTACAAATACAAAGAAGAAATGCAGTTATTTGGAATAGCCACTTCTTGGTATAAATCTAATACTAATACTAATTTGGAATAGAAAGATGCAATGGACAGCAAGCATCACTAATTTACTCTAATTTGGGGATGGAGAGAATCATTCTGCCTTGACAAAAGTGTCTTAGTTATGAAAATAAAGTCTAATTCAGTACAATAAAATTTATTGCGCTCTAACAAGATGTCAGACACTAGAAGTTAGAGTTGAATAAACTAATCCCACTCTAAGAAATAGCAAGGATTTCATCCATTTTATGCAAGTAAAACCAAATCTCATAAAGAAAACAAATGCTACTACAAAATTTTAGATAATGCTTATAGTCAAAATGAAATGAGCTTACTTTGGAGATTTCTAATTCTAACTGCATTAAGCTTAATGACATGTCCATGTGAATGAAGTATTTCACTATTATCCACTTATTTGCTTTTGTTCATATAATACATACAATGAAACATGTTCATTGTATGTGAAGTACTGAAAAAATTCAAATATTGCAGAAGTGCACAGTGAATTCTTTCAATTTATTTATTTATTTTTGGTGGGACGGGAGTTTGAATTTAGGGCTTTACAATTGCAAGCAGGCACTCTTATCACTTGAGCCAAAACTCCAGTACGTTTTGCTCTAGTTATTTTGGAGACAGGGTCTCATGAACTATTTGCTTGGGCCGACCTTGAACAATGATTTCTTCTGATCTCAGCTTCTCAGGTAGCTAAGATTATAGTTGTGAACCAGTGGCGCCTGACTTCTCTTTCTTTGTAACTCCCTTTCACAAAGGCAACCCCCTAAGATTGTATATGCTTCTAGAAATAGTTGATTCATACAGAAGGATCTATGTGGGTGTTTTAGATTTTTTGTTCCATTTACATAAATGGTAACAATATACACTAATCTGGTCCTTCATTTCATTTAATTAGCATATACATATATATAGGTATATGTAACTATAACCACCTTAACAGTTCTTTCTCCACTAGATAACTGCTATTGGTGAATATTTCCAATCAGTTTCTCAACAATTCAAATAAATATTACAATGAACAGTCTTGTCTCCATTAGCAGAAGAGTTTTCTCTATGATATATAATTGGAAGGAAATTGATGGGTAGCAGAGTCATACATTGTAACTTTTATAGATTTTTTTAAATTGCTCTCTAAAAGGGTTGCAACTTTTAACAGTTCTGTCAATAGTATAATTCCCTCCTTTTGTTTTGTGGTACTAGGTTTTGAACTCAGGGCCTCACACTTATCATGCAGGCATTCTCCAGCTTGAGTCACTCTATCAGCCCTTTTGTGTTGTGTATTTTTGAGATAGGATCTCTTGAACTATTTGCCTGGACTGGCCTTGAACCACAATCCTCCTGATCTCTGCCTCTCAAGTAGCTAGTATTATGGACATGACCTGACTATAATTCCCATTTTTTTGTATTCTTACCAACACTTTATATTGGTGAGATATATTTCCCAGCCTGTTTGCCTTATGATCAAGTAAAAAGTAACTTATGAAAGTTTCCTACTTTTATGCAGCCATGTAGTCTCTCTTTTTTTTTTTTTTGTGGTGCCGAGTATTGAATCCAGGTCTTTGCACATGCTAGGCAAATGCTCTACCACTGAGCTACACCCCCAGGTCCCATATTGTCTTTTTATGTAACTTTAAAAGTAATTCAAATAGAATCTTTCCATCCAAAAGCATTTAATACAAGCCCTTAACTTGAGCTTTCTGTTATAGACAATTCCCAGGCAAAACAATAAACGAAGCATACCCAAGTGATGAATCTTTGTGAAGAATACTGAGAAGTTTCCCTTTTATGTCATTTTCCAGTGTGTCTAAGTTGTGTTGTTGTGTAATGCTCCTGTCAACTTGAGGAGCTGTATAAATAATATCAAATGTAGGAGATGGAAAATCAACCTTAAAAATTAAACAGAAGTTGATCAATTTATAGTCCACATATATGCCAAATTAGTTTCATTTACAAAACTGATGTTTCTTAGCAATCGGGGTAGATTTTCAGAGTATTATATTAGTGTTTATCTTTTTGTTGAACGTGATTATCAGTATTTGGTAATCCTCAATAGCAGAATATATATTTCTTGGGCTGGCCACAATGCATTACTTTCTCTCAGAAGTTGGAAAAGGTTTTATGATATTAGAATTGAAAACAGATTGAGATTAAAATGAGATCAATTAGGCCCCCTCAATAACAACTCAAATCATGGTATACACACAAATACTTTTTATAAAGAAATTTAAATTGAAACTCCTGTACATGTCAAGAATCATTACCTGTAACACTATTCTTTCCATGACATATCCTTTTTTGGGAACAGTTCCAGGAATAGAATTTGTATGTGATGAAGTCCAAAGATACAGAAGTTTAGTTCCACATGTTAAAAGCCTTCGTGAATGTAAAAAGACCGATTTTCATTTTAGAAATGCAAAATTCACAACACATGGTAATCAATTTAAAATGTTAGTATTCCATTCATTAAATAAAAAGAGTATCATCTTTAAGACCCTAAAAGGAATAATTTCCCATATTATACTAAGACTAAATTTAGGCTAACATATTAAAGTATGAGGTAGGAACAAAGAAATGGAGAATGAAAAATGTTTCTTGGAAAGAATGGGTTGGGGACAGAGCACAGAAGGGCAAAGAAAGGAATCACATGTCCCCCAAACAACTTTTATAAACAATAAGGTAATGGACTTTCTACAAAGGAATACATCTCAAGGTAGTGGTTTGGATTACAGAACTGCTTCTTGACTTTTGCTATTAGAACAAAAAACACTTCAAGAAAACCAGTAACTCTTTTGTGCCAAAGCACTAATCATTTGAGATAAGAAATTATACCTGTACTCTTGTCAGCAACACATTAATTAATTAATTGGGGGAGGGGCTTTGTGGGCCACATCACCTCTCTTAAAAAGACTCAACCTATTACAATGCATAGTAGCTATGAATAGTACACTAATGAATATGTGTGCTATGTTGTAACAAAACACATTTATAAAAACAGGTAGTAGGCTTGAGTATGTTGACTTTTACCCTAGACTACCAATTTATGATTTGGAAGAACAAAATGTATAAAGGCAGAAACTTTGTCAAATCTTTGTTCATTGTATTCAAACAGAAAATACCCTTTCCAAAACTAAATTCCAGTCTATTTTCTCTCTCCTATTAACAACAGCCTTTGAATCTTTGGTGGTACTGAAGTTTGAAGCCAGGGCAAGCAACATCCCACCCCATAAACTGTCATTTCTAAAAATCACTCACCCCCACCACAAACTAGACTGTTTCAAGGCAAATCCTGATCACACAATTTCATCTATAAATTCTGTTACATAATTCTAAATAATAAACTGCTTAAAGTAAGCATAATATCATTTTCTGTCCTAAAATAATTAATAATTATTAGAGATGATGAACCATTTAGTCAGAGGGCTGGAGGTTTGGCTCAAGTGGTAGAGTGCTTGCAGCAAGCACAAAGCCCTGAGTTCAAACTCTAGTACCACCAAAAAAAAAGAAAAACAGAACAAGAAAAACAAGAAACACTACCATTACCACAAACAAAAAGAAATCTTGGCCTACATGTATTACTTTTGTAGGAGTTGAAAAACTACAATGTTCTCAATACTTCTCTATCTACTAGCTAGAATTTTAGTTCAAAAGCCTTTCTCATATCACTTATTTGGTAATCCTGAGATACAACTCTAGCGAAAAGGCAGTTAAATGTTGAATTCTGCTTATGTACCAATTTTCAGAAAAATTAGTTAAGAACTCATTTGTTACTGAAGCTGAATGAAAGGCCTCTGAGTCTTTTGGTTTCCACGATAGTGCCTTCAACAAACTGTATGCAGGTTGCATCCTCAACAGAAATAATTAAAAGGGAACTCCAAGATCAGGATCGGCAGTCATTATATCACAGTGTGTTACCTGAACTATATCATTAACATTTTCTTTATATGTATTAATGTAAAATCATCTTCCCTCTTAATCTGAGTTATTACTTTAATGTTAAGTCCTAACATTACCTGAAGTGAATGCATTACTTGACAGTATTAAGTTTTTCCCATTTTTATTAGTGTATAATCATTAAGTGTTAAGCTTAGAATCTATTCACTATTTTAATGGCAGAGTGTTTGATATCAACTATTTAAAAGTCTAATAGAAGTCAACAGCCCTTCCCTTTATTATCTCTTGAATTGTGAATAAATATTATTCATTAAAAAGAAACATTTATAGCTGCCTGGCTATAAATGGCTCACATCTGTAATCCCAGCTATTTAGGAAGTGAAGATCAGGAGGCCCAAGGTTCAAGGACAGCCTGGGCAAAAAACTAAGGCGATCTCATTTCAATCAATAGGCTGGGCATAGTGGTATTTGCCTGTTATCCCAGCTATGTGGGACAGCAACAAAATTTGTGAAGTCAGTTGAACAGACATAATCTCAATGAATGATTACTCAAAAAAAAAAAAAAAAAACGATGTACTTGCCACTTAAGAAGAAAGAAAATAGGACTAGATTGGCAGAATTTTGCCACTGTTAGCATTAAACTATCTTTTGTTTGTTTTCTGAGAATCTCACTATGTAGTCCAGGCAGGTCTTAAACTCAAGATCCCCCTGCCTTAGTCTCCTGAGTGCTGGGATTACAGATGTGAACCATGATGCCTAACTTAAATTGTTTTATCTTAGATTAAATCGATCCACTATTAAATCATTTCCCAAAATGCCCCATGGATACAATGTTTACATATTGTGTTTATATATATCCACACACCCCAAAAGTGCCATGGTATCAAGTAAGTTTGAGAATGTCAATACAGGATAATACTTAAGAACACACACCCTGGAACCAGACTGCTTAGTTTAAATCCTGATCCCATAAGCCCCAAGGAGCAAGACATTTAACCTGTGTACTTTGTTTTCCTCCCTGTGAAAGGGGATAACAGTATCTTCTTCATAGAGTTGTTGTTGGGAATATAAGGATATGTGTACAGCACTCAGATAATACTTAGTACACATTGTAAGTGCTAGTTATTACAGTAAATATATTGTTATAAAACATAGTTAAATATGCTTTTTGACTACAGATCTTTACAGATGCTTTAATATGCTTGTGTGTTACCAATCTGCCTAATGTTCCCACGTATGCAACATATTCCAAACTTATTCAGTACTTGTTTGTTTTCCCTTTAAGATGACATTACTGTTCTTGTCCCAATAACTATTCCTTTTAAGCTTTTTTTTTGGGGGGGGGCGGGGTGAGGGGAATATTAAGACAAGGTATCATTATATAGCCCAGGTTGGCCTCAAACTTGCAAATCCTGCCTTAGCCTCTCAAGTGCTAGGATTACAGGTTTGTCCCACCACACCTGGCTTCTTTTGAGCTTCACTAGTAAAGAGTATCCTTCATCTTTAAGGGTAGGGGGAAAGAATCCTGCAGGTTTCTGCACACATGTGGGACCTTTGGAAATTAAAGACCAGTGGCTCATAACAGTAAGGGACAGATTAGTCAAGTAAAGAGAATTAATGAAGAGAATAATGTACACCTGTAGAGTCCCTAAAATTGGAAAAGGGTAGGGAAAGGATGAAAAGAGAAAAAATGGAGTTCTTTTTTATTGTTGAAGGAACTGATAAGACTATGATATTATGTCAATAATATAGGACTTGACATAAGTAACAGTCATTGGCTGCTGCTTTTCTCCTGGAACAATTCTATATATTCAGACTACACAAGAATAACTTTTTTTCTTCCCTCCGATCTGTGTCTTTGAACTGACCTCATTTTATCACATTGGAAAAAAAATGAGAAAGCTCAAAGTCATGTTGGTCACTGTTCCCCATCCTATCCTCCAGGCAATTCTGATACTCATGATCACAATTCAGTAATACTTACCGTTTAAAGTCAAAAAGAGGCAAAGAAACTTTGCCCAAAGCTTCTGGTCCCTTTCTCTGCTTATTAGAATCAGGGGAACTTCCACTGCTCTGATTTAAAATTCCAAAAAGAGTAAGATGAAGAAGTGATTCCAATGGCAATTGTGATATCTGGATGGGAAAAATGATTCTATGGGGGGAAATGTATCAATAGAAAGACAAATTAGATTGAATGTGAAGTTTATTAACCATTTGATGAGCTTCACAGTTTTTGGCGTTCCATTTGACTTTTCAAATAATATTTAACCCTAAGTAACCTTCATCTAATTGCAAGTTTGGCTAACTTGAACTGTTAGAAGTCTTAAGTAAACAAGCTTCATTATCAGTATGGAATTTCAAAATATAATGTTTTTTTCTATAAAAATTTAGAAGTGTCTTTACTGAAGGTTTGCAGTGTCAATTTCTAGAAAAAAATGAAAGTAGTCATTTGTACTCCCTTTAAGACAAACTAGATGAGTGCTTATCAGCATTTCTGCTTGGGGATGTAAGTATGCACATATCTATACAGATTGATGCATTTACCAATGAATTCTTTTTGTTAAGTATAAAAGAACAGATGGTCACTCTTGAGGATCATGTGTTAAAAATAGAAAGACACTGTTTACCCTATATGCATTTTTTGTATTATTTGATTACTTTCACAGATGTACTGTTTTTATAATTTAAAAATTAGAGAAAAATAGGAAAGCATTTAATAAGTATGGAACAAATAGTAAAAATTCTGCAACTGCCTGCCTACCTAACTAATGATGAGTTCCCTTAAAAACTGTATTTTAGAAATACTAACACCACAAAACAGCATGTACACAGATTTAAGGTAACTTTTATTTTATTATCTATTAATTAACAACTGTATTCTTATATAGTGTCATAGAATAAATACTAAAGTAAGCAGTTATAAAATACCATCTTTCAAAAGTTACATATAAATTTGTATCTTTAATTTGACAAAATCTAAGAAGAATTAATGTTATTGCAATTTAATATGTAGACTGAAATTAGTATTTCAGATTTCTTAATGAGAATATCAATTTGTTCTATGAAATTATATCTAGAAAATACCTTAGATGTAACAATTTAATGAAGTTCAGTGGAAATGGCAATAAAAAGTAAAGAACAGGGTACACTGAAAGAATTAAAAAGCCAAAAATTTTACTTACAGTTCATCCCATTTAATAAGATAGAAGAAATTCTTGTAAGTGCCAACCTTCTTTGACTGAATGGGTTTAAAAAGATCCTTTCCATTGTGAGATAGAGAACATATCAAGTAGTATTTTTCATAACTGAGAAAAGAAAGTTTAATTTGATAATATAAATTACTAACTAATACAAATACATCAGCAATTCCCCCAAATGTCTAATATCTAAAATACTTTGGTCACCATTCATTTGAACTTTTAGAAATGCACCTGAAATTTAACCACTGCAAATTCTATGAAAACAGAGAAGTAGTACACAGCACCTTTCTTAGGTGCTATTTTCCTTTGCTAAGCTATTGAAATAGAATCAGCTAAGCATACAGATAGCGCATGAGTCTAACTTGATGGAGCTAATCATCCTAGCATATTGGGAGGCTTACATCCATGGGGATAGATGCTGTTGTATTCTCTACTGGACAGCAATGACTTACCTACAAATTGCTGCAAGTACAGACCTAGTCAGATACGTAAGGCAATCCTATAAAGCAAGACTCTTGGAGTCAATAAAATTGTATTCTACTTATATTTTATTACTGATAGGCATATAGGCTAACCGCTCTGTTCATATATATAATCTATTTATCATTCTAAACATATTTTGACCCTAATCTCGTAGGCTCACAAAATAGCCCTACCTAACTAGTTGATTAGTTTTCTAAACTTCTTTCCATTTACCCCTATTTAGTTTAGTGTTTTATTAACTTTCTTTCCATCTTAATTACCACTGTTTCTATACTGTTTTCTACCAGGCATTCATTTATGGTAGTGTCCCTAAATTTACTTGTGTGCATGTGCATGCATGCATGTATGAGTGTGTGAGTGTATATCTATCAAGTAGTAGAAAACTAATACCTTCAGACCCAATAGTAAAGGCCAAGTATGTAGCTCAGTGGTAGAATGTTTGCCTGGCATGTGTAAGGCCCGGGGTTGGACCCCAGCACTATAAGAAACAAACAACAACAACAACAAACTCCACACCCATTTTTCAGCTGGACATGATGGGACACATCTCTAATCCATGCACGTGGTTGACTGAGGTGGAAAGATTACTTGAGCTCAGAAGTTTGCAGACAGCTGGGGCAACATAGCAAGACCCCTTCTCAAAAAAAACAAAACAAAAACCAAACGAAATGCAAGTTCTAGAAAAGCACTGTTGCCTTTTTTACTGTTGAATCCCCAGTACTGAAAATTCTGCCTGTAGATGGGGCACAGTAAATATTTATTGAATTAATTAAAATGACCACTTTCAGGCCACATTATTATTTTCATCTAAACTCAATTTTAGCAAAATTTATGTTTGGTGTCTCTGCTACACTTTTTTCATAGAATGAAGCTATTACAAAATTATTTCACTAAAAATATTCCTTTCAGCCAGGCATCATAATTCAAGCCTGTAATCCTGGCTACTGAGGAGGTGGAGATTGGGAGGATCTCAGTTCAAGGCCAGCTTGGGTAAACAGTTTGTGAGACCCCACCGCAAACAATGACTGGACTCAGTGGCTTGTGCTTGTCGTCCTAGCTACATGGGAAATATAAACAACAGGGTCCAGGCCAGCCCAGGGAATGAGCAAGAACCTATCTCAAGAACAACCAAGTGGCAGAATGCCTGCCTAGCAAAGCACAGGTGCAAGTGCAAGGGTCTGGGTTCAATTCCCAACACTGCAAAAAAAAAAAACAGATCAGAAACAAAAAAAAACAAATCAATATGAGAAATATGCTCTTATAAAACACAAATATTAGCAATCAGTAAATTGTAAACTACTGAAGAGGCAGAGGAAAGTCCTGAAATCTAGTCCCATTACATTATTTCCAATTAACCTGGCTGAAAAAGAAGAGCAGAAAAGTGAGCAATCTTAAATTAACTGATTAAATATTTGCTAAGATTCAACACATTTTCCTGCCCTTTTTGCAATTAGTAGGAGTGACGTTTTTTATGGAAATAGCGTCAAACATCTTTATAACTTTAATGAAAACCACAAAGGTGATCCCTGTATCATCCACTTAAATACCAAGAGAGCTGTGATTACTGACATTTTATAAGATTAGAATAACCACTAAGTAAATCTTGCATATTTTCTTTTGGGCAGTTACTTACTTTGATACCCAGTTACTTGAAATTCCATGTGCAGCAAAAATAGTAAACTGAAGCTGTTCCGTCGTAGACCATGCTTCCTTGATATTCCTGCTACTTGGGGTGCAGGAACTCCTACTTGAATTTGCATGAAGTCTAAGAAGATCATAAACTGCCGCAGTTAACTGGTCAGTGCTTACTTGAACAGGATTTTCAGGAGTCAGTGAGCCTAAATTGAAAGAAAATGTTAATTCTCTGAGAAAGCAACAATAATTGCTAAAATTTAAAGAACCAAAAGACATACCTCCAGTTGAGCTCTTGCTATCATCTCCTCTTCCAGATAGTGAGGTCACCTGCATATACATGTCAATTAGTCAGAAACTGCCTATGGTGTAGTTTACCTTTACCGTTCATACCTTTAGTTAAATGCTAGAGGAATACTGTTCTCAGAGGAAACCTACCAGAAGAATCTGAAAAACTAATAAACAATAAGTTAAAAAAAAAAAAGTGAAAAAACAGGAAAACACCAAAGTAAACAGATGATTTTCAGTTTCAAGAAAAACAAAGGAAGTGAAAATTATTACAAAATACCATGAAAAAGAGAAAAGTCTGTACTGCTAAATAAATTAATATTAATATGAGGTTCAGAAGTGAGAAGTATGCACACTACTTTTCACTAGCTCTTATCAATAACATGATAAGAATACCCTTAAAGAATCTAGAATTCTATTTATTACTATTTGGTGACTCAAGGAAATTCATAATTACTTAAGTTGAGCTCCCTTCCCACCTACTCTTTGCTTCTCCTTTATCCAATAAATGAGTAAAAACAATAGAAGCCTCAGACAACATGAGGGCCTGTAGCTGTTCATATTTTCCACATAATTAGCACATACTTTTAATTTCTAAAAAGAAGCACATAAAAAAGATTAGGAGAAAATGCAGCCCAAATCTCTATATACCATTATGGATGAAATCTCTGAGAATGAGTTGACTAAGTTACCTCCTGGATATAGTGTTCCTTTCTTTAAATTTATAGTGGCTTGTGAGACCCACCTTTTCTTTCATCCTTCCAATTCAAAGATATGAACATGTCTATGAACAGAATTCATCCAAACCCCATGGAAATACCAGGAGGCAGAGCTTTTATTAAGGAATACATATGACATAGAAGGCTCATAACCTGGCTTGCTTCTGAAGCAGTAAGTTACTTTCACAGAGGTTTCTTGGTCTCTTCAACATGAAAAAAGTATGTCTAAAGTAGAACTTCCTCCACTGATAATAATAATGGACATCTCCATCAAGAGAGATGTGAGAGGTATTACTCTCTATGATCTCTAAATTCAACCAATTCATTTATGCCCGAGGTCCTCCTCTACACCTAAAGGGCTCACAGTTTGGCATCCACTTATTTGATGCTGGCTCTCACAAAGCTTCTCCAAGGCAGCCATCCCATCTTCTTACCAAGGAATCCCCCACCTAACCAAAGAAGTGTCTGAAATCAACTCAAGAGTAAAAGCCAAAGTTAACATGGTAACATTTTGCTTACTAGAAGGCAAAAGTTTTACAGTTTAAGTGATAGGTGCTCACTAAAGTACAGAAAAATACTCACATTAGCACTTTTATTCCTTGGCAGGTTAACTGCTCGCTTTAGCTTCTTTACTGATTCTGTAATGGCAGGAGTCTCTACACCATCTAAAGCACTACAGATCTTTCTTACAGCTTTAATTAGTTGATCTATGGCTCGGTGCTGGTTCTTTAAAAATATAAAGTAAAATAAACATAACTGTAAAATTTGAAGGACCAATTTCAGAGATGAAGTCAGAAGCTAGATATTTTAGATGTGCCTAACAATAGATACTTTATTTTTTTACACTATGAAAAAAAATAAACAAGACAGCTTTTCTGTTACAGGGTTTACTATGAAGTAAACTGAATCAAGGCCTGGTTAATTTTCACTATGACAATTAGTCATATGCAAATGCTATTCATTTCACATTAGAACCAGAAAGAAAGGCAATAAATTAGTAACAAGTGACTAAATCATTAAGAAAAAAAAATACTAGCCTTATTGGAAATAATCCTTTCTTCCCTCCTGCAAAAATCTGGTATCAAAATTTTTGATATCAGAACCAAGTTCTTATGAGGTTAGTCATATATTATTAACATGGGAACAGTTACTAGAAGTGAATTACTTTCTATACCACCATCATTTTAGAAGTTTTATCTGACAAAAAAATTTCCTTGAGGACAATTTTGTACCATTCCATTACAATTTATTTTACCATGATCCAAAAGTATACACATACAAATACACTGAAAATCATTTACCTGGTAAGATCCTTCTCTACTCTTAATAAGAAGTACAAAGCTATTAAAAAACATTCTTACAAGGGGGCAGCTGGGTAAAATTTCTACTGTTCGATAGCATAGTAAGATAACTATGATTAACAATTAATTGTATGCCTCAACAAATAGGTAAAGAAACTGTCAAAATATCCCTATTTGCAGATGACATGATCCTATACCCAAAAAACTCTACTCAGAAGCTTCTAGACATCATCAATAGCTACAGCAAGGTAGCAGGATATAAAATTAACATAGAAAAATCATAAGCATTTCTATACACTAATAATGAACAAACTGAAAAAGAATGTATGAAAACAATTCCATTTACAATAGCCTCAAAAAAAAATCAAATACCTAGGTGTAAACCTAACAAAAGATGTGAAAGACCTCTACAAGGAAAACTATACACTTCTGAAGAAAGAGATTGAGGAAGACTATAGAAAGTGGAGAGATCTCCCATGCTCATGGATTGGTAGAATCAACATAGTAAAAATGTCGATACTCCCAAAAGTATTCTACATGTTTAATGCAATTCCCATCAAAATTCCAATGACATTCATTAAAGAGATTGAAAAATCTATTGTGAAATTTATATGGAAACACAAGAGGCCACGAATAGCCAAGGCAATACTCAGTCAAAAGAACAATGACTTCAAACTATATTACAAAGCAATAACAATAAAAACAGCATGGTACTGGCACAAAAACAGACATGAAGACCAGTGGAACAGAATAGAGGATCCAGATATGAAGCCACACAACTAAAACGAACTTGTCTTTAACAAAGGCGCTAAAAATATACGATGGAGAAAAAGCAGCCTCTTCAACAAAAACTGCTGGGAAAACTGGTTAGCAGTCTGCAAAAAACTGAAACTAGATCCATGTATATCACCCTATACCAATATTAACTCAAAATGGATCAAGGATCTTAATATCAGACCCAAACTCTAAAGTTGATACAGGAAAGAGTAGGAAATACTCTTGAGTTAGTAGGTATAGATAAGAACTTTCTCAATGGAACCCCAGCAGCACAGCAACTAAGAGATAGCATAAATAAACGGGACTTCATAAAACTAAAAAGCTTCTGTTCATCAAAAGAAATGGTCTCTAAACTGAAGAGAACACTCACAGAGTGGGAGGAAATATTTGCCAGCTACACATCAGACAAAGGACTGATGGACTGATAACCAGAATATATAGGGAACTTAAAAAACTAAATTCTCCTAAAACTAATGAACCAATAAAGAAATGGGCAAGTGAACTAAACAGAACTTTCTCAAAAGAAGAAATTCAAATGGCCAAAAAACACATGAAAAAATGCTCACCATCTCTAGCAATAAAGGAAATGCAAATTAAAACCACACTAAGATTCCACCTCACCCCTGTTAGAACTGCCATTATTAGCAACACCACCACCAACAGGTGTTGGCAAGGATGCGGGGGAAAAAGGAACCCTCTTACACTGCTGGTGGGAATGTAAACTAGTACAACCACTCTGGAAAAAAATTTGGAGGCTACTTAAAAAGCTAAACCTTGATCTACCATTTGATGCAGCAATACCACTCTTGGGGATATACCCAAAAGACTGTGACACAGGTTACTCCAGAGGCACCTGCACACCCATGTTTATTGCGGCACTATTCACAATAGCCACATTATGGAAACAGTCAAGACGCCCCACTACTGACGAATGGATCAAGAAAATGTGGTATCTATACGCAATGGAATTTTATGCAGCCATGAAGAAGAACGAAATGTTATCATTCGCTGGTAAATGGATGGAATTGGAGAACATCATTCTGAGTGATGTTAGCCTGGCCCAAAAGACCAAATATCGTATGTTCTCCCTCATATGTGGACATTAGATCAAGGGCAAACACAACAAGGGGATTGGACTTTGAGCACATGATAAAAGCGAGAGCACACAAGGGAGGTGTGAGGATAGGTATAAGACACCTAAAAAATTAGCTAGCATTTGTTGCCCTCAATGCAGAGAAACTAAAGCAGATACCTTAAAAGCAACTGAGGCCAACAGGAAAAGGGGACCAGGAACTAGAGAAAAGGTTAGATCAAAAAGAATTAACCTAGAAGGTAACACACATGCACAGGAAATTGATGTGAGTCAACTCCCTGTATAGTATCCTTATCTCAACTAGCAAAAACCCTTGTTCTCTCCTATTATTGCTTATATTCTCTCTATAACAAAATTAGAGATAAGGGCAAAATAGTTTCTGCTGGGTAGCGAAGGGGTGGGGGGGAGAGGGACGGGGTGGAGTGGGTGGTAAGGGAGGGGGTGGGGGCAGGGGGGAGAAATGACCCAAGCATTGTATGCACATATGAATAATAAAACAATAAAAATAAATAAATAAAAATAAAAATAAATGTCCACAATGCAAATTGTATAAGAACGTATGACAGATTAACACGTTAATCATATCACAATAGTTCCCTGTATGAATGGGCATTTTAAAGGTATATAAATTAATGAGAGAGAGAGAAAGAAAGAGAATTATCTAGCAGAGCAGTAACAGTAAACTCTGATGAGTATGAAGAACTCCACCCAATCAAACATGAACAATGAAGAAATCACAAGACCCCTCTCTCATCATCTTAGCAGGGTACACACACACAAAAAAAAATTAATTGTATACCTCAAAATAGCTAGTAGAAAAGATTTTAATGATCCCAAACATTAAACAATAAATGTTTGCAGTGACAGATATACCAATTACCCTGTTCTGATGATTATCCATTTTATACACGAACTGAAATGTCACAAGGCACCCCACAAATATGTATGATGACAAATTACAAATTTAAAAAATGTATTTCTTAAAACTTGTGAAAAAAAAAGAAAAAAGAAATATTTACATGTACTTCTATTGATTGACTGGCTGATTGATTGGCTGGGTGTTACTACATTGCCCCGGGCTGGTCTGGAACTCAGGAGCTCAAGGGATCCTCTTGCCTTAGCCTCCCGAGTAGCTGGGACAATGGTATATGGCTCCATGTCAAACTTGAAACATTCATGTATAATGAGTTAATTCATAAAACATTTACGCCAAACTTTTATGCCAAGTACTTTAAGGCTGAAACTCAGTGTTACACCATCCCATAAAAATTTAAATGTTTCCATTCTGGAGGCCTGAGGCCTGGCTACCAAAAACCAAATGTTCCCTTCACCTTCAAATTTAAATGAAATTACCTCATTTTGTAACCCAATTATACCCGAGTTCTCAGGGCCTGAAGGTCTGTATGCTAGTTCTCCATCTTTGCTTTTTTTTTTGGCAGTACTGGGGTTTGAACTCAGGGTCTCATGCTTACCTAGGCAGGCACTCAACCACTTGAGCCACTCTGCCAGCCCATCTTTGCTTACTTAGTTTATATTTCTGATTTCTTTCACGTCACCTTCATGCAAAAATCTTTCCATTCTCAAAGTTCATCCTATTCTCCTCTACTGTTCTCCATTATTCCTTTTGTCAATATTGGGGTTTGAACTCAGGGACTCCTTTTTCACTTATTTTTCAGATAGGGTCTTGTGCTTTTTTTATTCATGGCTGGCCTGGACCACAATCCTCTTGTGCCACCTGCATAGTTGGGATCACCAGTATGCACCACCATACTCAGCTTATTTGTTGAAATGGGGTCTCACTAGATTTTTGCCCAGACAGGCCTTGAACAGCAATCTTCCCTATCTCTGCCTTGCTAGTAGCTGAAATTACAGGTGTGCACCACCACATCTGGCTTTCTATCATCCTTAATATGTCATTTATCTTTTGCTCAACTTTGTGAAACTAGAACTAAACCGTAAATTAAACTAACATTTCTTTACCAATTGGAAAAATGTTAGGTTTTTAGGGACTCCAAAAAAGCAGCAGGAAGACACTTACCATCTGGGTTCAGGTATTTATTAAATTCAGCATGGGACCCACCCAAAGAACCTTAAATACCAGCCCTAGTTATACCCTCTAACCATGCTCTCCCTATCTGACAGCTCCACCTAAAGTTCCTTAGCAAGTTTAGCTTATGTGCTCCTGTGATAGCTGTCCTCTTTTCAAAGAATCTGAATTTCAGTCTGGGGTTGAGGGAGAGATCTTTTAAGTCTTTAGATTTCCTTCAGTGTCCATTTTTCCTCAGCCTAGAGGTAATAGCTGCCTTTTAGCAACTGCTACTTCTGGACCCTTAGAGAAAGGGCAAACATTTTCTTTAAAAGGCCAGTAAGTAAATATGTTAGGTCTTGTGAGCCACGCAGTTTGTGGCAACTCTTGTATAGTGTGGTGACAGACACAGACAATACATAAGCAAATTACCGTTAACTGTGGTCAATAAAACTTTAAAAAAAAAAAACAGGCAACAGGTTGGACTTGGTGTGCGAGCCACAGTATGCAAAATCTTGCCTTGTAGTAC